CTTATAATAAATTCATCTGGAACCTATTCCATGTAGAATGTGTCTTCTAGTTAGTTTTGGATTGAGGTTCAGTTGTTGTTTCTTTGCAATTTACTATTTCTTTTGATTGTCAAGCAGAGCCTTCCACCGAAAAATCTGACCAAGTAGATCTATTTGGACAAAATTTGATTGGTGACCTCTTGGATGTACCAACATCTGTTCTGGCTGATAATTCTACTGTCACCAGTCATCCATCAGAGGTTGATTTATTTGCTGACGCCAATTTTGTATCGGCGAAACCACAGTCTGAGGTGAGGGTAACTTCTCAGGCTCCAGTGTGCAACACTCCATCATGTTTTTTTTGCAATTTTACTTTTTGGTTTGTTAGTTAAAAATTGGCCATATGTCTTTTCTGCAGATAAGTGTAGATCTGTTTGCTTCTCAGCCTGCCTCTTCATCTACAGCTTCTTCAACCATAGATTTTTTTTCTGCACCAGATCCTGTTGTACAATGCGATATCAGATCTTCTAAATCAGACAAGATAAATGCTACTACGGTTGATCCATTTGCTGCAGTTCCACTAAATACCTTTGATAGTTCTGATCCTTTTGGTACATTTGTTTCTCATGCTGATCCTGTATCAGTAGCCAGTGAAAATGCTAACCGTGGTGGGAATCAGGAGGAGACTCCTAGCAAATTAGATAAATCTCCTGTCGAAGCTAAGCCCGCACCAAAGAAGGATGATTTTCAAGTCAGGTCTGGAATATGGGCTGATTCATTGAGCCGTGGACTGATTGATCTGAATATCTCTGCACGTAAGTTTCTGTTCTCTGTCATCACTGGCAACATTCTGTTGAACAACTACATGTTTTTTTGGTTTAACCATACGGTGCCTGGAAGCCAGTGGCCCGATTAATTTGGAAGTTGTAGAAGCTCACTATGGGAGTTTTAGTGCTCCCTAGTCCCTACCAAAGAGGACTCCATTCTCAGGGCTCAAACCCGAGTCCTCTGGTTAAGGGTAGAGGAACCTTTACAGTTCCACCAGTGACCCCAGACCCTTTGGTGGTTGAACAATTGTACATAGTATGCTTACCATTAGATATTAGGTTTGAATCTGTTAGCTTTATATAGTAGAACTAGGCTATAGTTACTCATCTTATAGGTGTTTGTACTTATTCTTCCTTCCCCCCCCCCAAAATTTGCAGCCAAAAAGGTCAACCTTGCAGATGTAGGCATCGTGGGTGGATTGACCGATGGGTCAGATGTGAAAGAAAAAGGGCCTACTACATTTTACATGGGTAGAGCCATGGGTCAAGGAACCGGGCTTGGCCAATCCGGGTTCACGTCCACATCAACGGGCGGCGCTGACTTTATTTCAAGTCACCAGAACTATCAATTTGGCAGCTTCCAAAAGTGATTTCGCATATCACCACAACTGAGATTCATTCCTCCCAGTTCCCACTAAATATTCATTTGTGAATTTCACCTCTAAATAGAAGTAGAGAGCAGTAGTGTTTTGGTGCACATTAGGAAAGTGATCAATGTTATGTCATTAACAGGCTACTAGTTTATACACACACACACACACACACCATGCGGCTATCCTGCAGAGTGCAAAATATTTTTTTGCTGTGCCTCTTTTACTACTATACAGAATTTCCTTGTACTTGATCTTATAAATCATGTCTTATGCTTTTCCTATATACAAATTTGGCATATGATTGTGTACACTGCCTGGTACTAGTCTGACTCATGGTGATCTAGTGAGAAGATCATTGCATTGCTCCTAGTGGTTTGATTGCAACGGTTCAAAAATCGAGTGGCAATGTTGACCACCGAATCAGATGTCTCAGGGTGTGCTGGAATGGTCGGGATTTATCCACCTTGAATCAGATGTCTCAAGTTGAAATCATAGAAATAGAGAATCTTTTTTGTAAGAAGCTAATTTACCCCCTTGGTGGGATTGCCTGATGCGGATTCGGATTAGTTGAGCAGTGGGCTCGGATATTGGATGGTTAAACCGGAAAAGAAATAAGTGACAATGTAGAGTTGTCTCTCACCCTTCACAATATCTCAAGTACTAGAATTAAATCAATCTTTCCTGGAAACTGTGTTTGCGACTTTGCGTTCAGAAACCGATAGCTGGGAATGAAAGAGAGAATCGTCTATCAATCGGTTTCATCAACAAAGGGATCTAACTTGTTTACAATGCTTTTGATTTACTAGTTACTACCATATTTTCTTGAAGATTTTCTGAGCTTAGCTTTTCTAGTTAGCCATTAGTGAGAATTCTCAAGTTTAAGCTATCATTTGAAGGTGTGTGAAATACGGAAAAGAACCATATCGAAAACATTTTTAAAATCATATTCAAAACATTTTAACCCATTCTTTTTCATAGAGCCCGTGTATTGTAAGTGATCCAAACCTGCTCGAAGCGAGCCTCCCATAGAAGCAAATAAAATTGGTGAGTTGTATGAACTAAGTTATGAGCAATATGAAGCCAAACCGGCAAGACCAAGGAATGAACGGGTGACTTGCACAAATAGGACACTTTGGTACCACTATTGATTTTTTTGACTCCGCTTAGCCCAATGGGCATAACTTCAAGTTTAACAAGTGTTGCCCCTGCTTGCCCCATGGTCAATACTATGGCCAAACCGTTGATAAAAAAATCAAGACCATCCATTTTTGAAGTCATTTGGTATAATTTCCCGCGAACAAGAATGTACAAGGGACAAGAGCCCCAAACATAGAATGAGTTCGCAATTACTACCACTAAAAATTGTCGCCCTCACCCTTTAAAGATAGGGATGCAACAGAAAGTATTCAAAGATATGCTTCTTTACAGTTAGATGCTAAATTAATTTGTTCACATCATCCATAAAACCAATCAGTTGTAGCAACACATGCAAATGGAAAATTTAACCTCAAATACATATGAAATGACGACCAAATTTCTACAGCAGGTTCCAAATTTCTTTTTCATTTATCCAAACTCCGAAGTCTGAACGAAGACATCTTAAGAGAGCTCTGTCCATTTTCAAAATGAGGACCAACAAAAAAATGGACTCAAGTGTACAGCATGGGAAGAAGCACTCGTTGTACACTGTATATTATCTAAAAAGTGGCTCACCGATAGAGTTATCAAAGGTACATGGTCACCCTCTAGATGACGGAAAAAGAGTCAGTTCTATTCTCTGTATAGCAGATGATGGAAATCCGAGTCATTGTTGTTTTCTCTCTTCTTGAATCGACTGAAAAATCCGAGCAGCAGATTCTGTAGCAGACCTCGCATTATGAGGCACAACTTTGATGACTTTGGTAGGACTACTAGGAAAATGTTGCTGCTGCCTAAGATCAGGGTTGCTAGCTGGAGAAGTCGGGAAAAGAGGAAACACACTTCTTCCTCCCGTGGAGTTTACCACGTCTGCTCTACGACTTCTTTCACTTGGACTACTTGCAGTGCTGGCCTGCAACTCAGAATCTCTAGAGAGATACAATCTCACGTCTGGCATGGTTACATTATTCTCACTGGCAACGTTACTTGAGTTCTGGTGTTGAATGTTAAAATTAGCTCTCCCTTCTGAGAACTGACCTTGAGAACTTGTTTCAGCAATCTGGTCCGGTTGATCAATAGCTGGAGACGGGATTACTGGATTCATAACTGACATGCCAAACGGAGGAAAGTAGCCATGACCAGTTGGAGGCGCGAAAGGAGCTCCCATTCTTTGATAGTATGCTGGAGCTAAAAAGTTTGGATTCGGGGGTCCACAACCTCTATATACTGGACTCGTGAATGCAGGTCCGGGGTGTGGCTTGTATACGAGTCCTTCAGAAGGAGACATCACGGGTATTAACCATTGCTGCCCTGAAGATTGATTGAAGAGCCACGGACCCATGTGGGAGTCGTGTTTTACCGGTGTTGGTGACGCGATTTCTGAAAGTGGTCTGCGGCTAGAAAGAGATGTCTCTCCTACATTTTCGGCATTGGATTCCGTCCTAGAGTTAGGCTTCTCAGAATCATTCTTCTGTTTCGAAACATTTTCAGGTGCTTTGACATTATACTCCAATGCAAGTCTTTTAGTAGACAACCTCTTTAAAGGTTTGCCTAAAGAAGAACCATCTTCGAGCATACTATTTGGCGAACTAGCTATCAGTTTCTGGACCTAATGAGTAATAAACAGAAAAACTTGAGCAAAATACTAAGTCCAAAGAAAAACAGGGAATACAAAATCTCAAAGATGATAAATTGAAGTTATTCAGTCTCTACAGCTGCTTTACCTTGAGTAGTCGATGCAACTCGAATACTTGAACTGCAAGCACTCTCTGTTGGCTGTAACCAGGACAATAGGGACAGCATCAAGAAAACAAATAACAGATAAAAAGAGATTAGCTCTTTAACATTCATGCAGCCGAAGTACCGATACAAAATAAAACTAATATAAGACTCATGTACAGATGAAAATCAGCTGGAAGATGAATACCACTCTAAATTATACAATGATTACTACCATTACTAAAAGAAGAATATAAATTATATCTAATTCTCCTTGGTGCTTACACAAATTGAAGGCTTCCCCAATCACATCGAATTGCAATAACCAGTGAACTCTAGATTGTTAAACTTTTTTTCTTTTTTTAAAGATTTTTAAAACTAAAAAGACAAACTCAAGCAAACGAAAAGCGGGGCTATCAATACAAAATTGTTAGGTCTAAGCGTTCAACAAAGCCTATCAGCATTAAAAAGCATGATGAAGTACACTACAGAATTTTACTGTAGAAATATTTGAGGAGAACATCCCTCTTATTTTTCCAAAAAGAAAAATACCATAAGGATACACAAAAGGGACAATTTTACTTTCACTATACAAGTCATGATCTTTGTGATACTTGAAAGTACATCATCAGCAAGTAAATGTCGGGTTCAAAACAAAGCCAACTAATAATATCCCCAAAAACCCATCTGCCAAAGAGAATGTTACGTCTCATTTTTGCACAACGTGATAAGAAAATGAAGATATCAACCTCAAGCATATGCAACAATCAATCAAAGCTTGCACCAAGAAACTGAACTTACTTGGCAATAGCTCGTCTTGCTCTCCAGAAACGCTTTTGTCCTATTATTCTAACAATATCATCGGGAGATATGTCCATTTCAGGTACATACTCCACCATAGAAGTCTCTGATAAGTCATCACTCCGGCCCATATCTCCTGTTTGTGATGATTTACATGTCTTGTCTTCCGGGGATTCTGTATCATTAATAAGGTTATTAGGATTTATACTCTTTTTTGATACAAATTCCTTCAAATGGAATGAAGAATTACCATTATCGACATCCACGGCAGATCCGGAAAAGACAGTGCAATCACCTCGAGAATCAGGTCTGAATTGTAACCGTACAATATTGGTCGTCTGTAATTCACCAAAGGTATTTGCATGATTCTTTCTCGGTTTGAAATGCAACAATTTATCAGTTTGCTTCAAAATACCTTCTGCCTTATCCAAAGATAAAGAATCTGAGGTAGATTTACGGCTTATTGCACCAGCTTTGGAGTTCTCTCCATGCTGGATTTTACCAAGCTGTCTCGTAATCAGACATGTAATTTCTTTCGATTCTTTGTTTGAGCACCCTGAAATCGCTTGATTAGAGGGAGAGAGCTTTTCCATATCAAGAATGTTATAAGATTTCACATGTCCCTGATCCACCTTGAAATTACCAAACGTGGGAATTCTAAAATCATTCTTTTCTGTTTGCTTTCTAGACTCAACTTTCTGCAACGGGGTATTTGAATCACAACTGCTGCCATGTGGCTTCTCAACTGGATCAGGAAGCTGTCTCGAGAAAAATACACCTCTTTCATGATCATTCCCCTACACAATTTAGTTGCTGAACTCAGATATAACAAATTCAAACAACCACAAACTTACTATCCATGCACTAAAAATAGAAATAACAGCTCAGTCAGGAAAGATAAAGTTTGACATCAAGAAACCCTCTAAACCAGCAACTAGGGAGTACCACCTCACAACTTAAGTACACAGTTACCTTAACTGTAACTATGACCACAAGGAGAAAAATGGAGGAATGGAAACGACATATTTTACGTGGAAGAAGGGATCAAACTTGCATAAAGAGACCTTTAAGAAAATGGAATCGCATCGACAGAGTTGAATAGCATCCTCCTGGAGCATTAAAGTGAAACATTTGGGAATTAGTTGTAGTTATTGGNCCCCTTTTTCTGTAAAAAGAAAAAAACAGACACACAAGAACAAAAAGTGCAGATAACATAGACAAGCAGCAATGCCATGATACCAAATCATAAAGTGATGACAGTTGATTCATTTTTCATCGTCAAGCAATGCACCGGAATTCAAGCTCAATGCAAAAATATTTATACTACCATTTATCTTAACAAGAAGAACAACCTATTATCTTTTTTCTTTCTTTTGTTTTTGGATTTTTTAAGGGGAGCCTCGGCGCAACAATAAAAGTTGCATCTATGTTACCGCTAGGTCACATGTTCAAGCCGTGGTAAACAGCCTCTTGCATAAATACAAGGTAAGGCTGCGTACTTAAGACTCAATGTGATCCTGTCCTTTCCAAACCCCACGATATTGGGAGCTTAGTGCATCAGGTTGTCCCCCCCCCCCCCCCCTTTTCTCCTTTCCTTTTTTTTGGGTTTGCTTTTGGGGTTGGCGGGGTTACTCAACAACAAAAGCTACTTCTCAGTAGAGGTGGAATCAAAATTTAAAGACAAATGGTGCACCTCTTAACATATATAAATATTTTTAAATTGGATTTTATATATACACATGTAGAGTCTCCCGTTGTTTGTATGTTGGATCTGCTTCTGCTTACCATAACAATGTAAATTCAAGCAGAATGTTCTGACCTAAAACCACTGACAAAGTTTAGAATATAGAAATAAAAAACAGCTATGTGAACTTGGTTTACCTGACTTGAGTAAGGAGGTACAGTGTTAGTATTATTGTTAAGAGGCAAATCACCAGGGTTGAATCTTTGAGAAGGAATACTAAGCTGTTCATAAAGAGCCATCTTGTTCCTTGGAGGTGCTCTTGGACCTCCTTTTTCTGTATCATTCACATGAAGCCTTGGAAACATTGGCCCCATTACTCTCTCTTCACTTTTCCCTCTCTTCATCCTCTTCCACCTCACCACTCCAATTCTAGTACTTCTTTTTTATGACCGAGAACTCCGTCTAGGGCCAACCGCAGCCCTCGAAACTCTTGAGTGATGGACCCGCCCCTCTACCTTTCTCCACTTACACTTCTTCTGGTCGAAACTCCGGATAATGGGTCCGCCCGTCCTCCTCCGCTTACTCCCCTTGTAGTCTTGTAAGAGATACAACAAAGTACTGTATTTTTTATTTTTTTTATTTTTACGAGGGTGGTGTCCGGGCCAGCTTGCACGCACCTCGATTATTCCACTAAATATCTACTACCTCCCATCAGTACAAATGCAACAAAGCACTATTTGTTTTATGATGGTGTTGTCCAAGCCAACTTGCTTGCATCTCGACTATTTGCTATTTCTCACTAGCACAATACAACAACGTACTATTTCCTTTTTATGACCACGGTTTACACGACAACTTGCTTGCACTTGACTATTGCACCGGATACTTGCTACTACTCACCGGCACAGATACAACAAAGTACTATTTCCTTTCTATGACGATGGTTTTCGTGACAGCTTGCTCGCAGCTCGACTATTCCACCGGGTTCGTGCTAACTCTCGCCCGCACAATACAACAAAGTAGTATTTAATATTGACTAATTCAAGAATCCTCCAAGAGCTGCCATCAACTATTCAGATGATCACAAACTCGTAACCCCATAAACCAAAATCAATCCATGTCCTCAAATGAGTAGAAAATTCAAATTTCACTAGCACTAACACTAGAAACTGAAAAAGTCTATTCTGTTATACCTGCTCGAAACTAATCTGACCCACTTGAGAAAACACTGAAATCCATATATCCAGAAATAAAAAAGCCTAGTTCTTTTACCTCAAATCAAGCACTTTTAGAAGTACCCAGAAGCAAAAAGACATGAGCTTTGCTTTGAACAAGAAGAAACCCCCTTCAGTACTTGTCCATCATAGTACAATGATGAACAGAAGGCTAAAATGTTGGGAACAACAAAGAAGGAAAAAAAGAGTTAATGAAAGTGAAAAAACAAGAAGTGATTCTTAAAATAGGAAAAGGGAGATTCTTGAAGGAAAAAATCCAAGCCAAAAAAGTTCGGCCATGGACCCAATTTTTGGCAGAATATAGAGATAGTTTATGGGAGTACAAAAATTATTGGGACTGTGATTGAGATTTCTTTCAATTTTTTATGTCAGATTGGCAACTTGGTCATTATAATAATTAAGTGTATGCCTCTTTTAATATACAAGTAATTTTTGATTGGTAGACAATAAGACAAAGAATGATTCATCGGAGAGACGGTGGCCTACATTTTTTATCATTGGATAATATGTACTACAAAGGTCTAATTGCAGAGCAACAAGTATAGTCAAAATTGTTACAATTGTTATGAAAATAATTATATAGTGGATGTTCATTTATTACTCCGCTATTCATTTAGTGAAGTTTATCTACAAGCAGCTGATGCAGGCAGGTTGCAAGCAGCTCAATGAAATGATTTGCA